TGGGCATGGTGGACTTCCATGCTTGAGTGTATCCAAAGACCACTGAGCAATCCATGGATTTAAATGTTAAGCAGTACCCAGGGCCTCATTGAGAGCATTTCCACAGGAGTGCATTTTACCCTAAATGCATAACATGAGTTGCATTCATTCATTGTAACAGAATTGCTCATACTTAATTTGATAAAACACGTAAAGAACAATAAACAGAAAAGTAAGTAACAGTACGACATATGCAATCTCCGGATTTATATTATGGTGTTTTACTATAACAGGGTGAATCTTCTGGTCTGACTCAAGAGCAGTAAATAGCAGGAAACAATATTATTACATTCAGGTGAAAGATTGACTATATGGTGGCACAAAAGGTCTCATTAGATTTATGTACCTGGAAGAAATATGATGTCTGTACCAACATAATGAATTCGAATATGCAACAACAGCAAGGCAAATGACAGCTTTAAGTTAAACTTTTCTTGCTTTATTTAATTTAAGGTAGGCCCTTAGGCTATATTTTTTGGTGCTGTGCAGCAGGGTTTAGCTTTAAAAACAGTTATTGTTAAAGAAAACTGTGTAGCTAATCCCTCTGCAGCACACTGAAAATAACCCTTTAATTTCCTTCTAATGTTATTTCTTCGGTATTCACAGGAATGACAGTTTTGAGACTGTTATGTTTTAGATTAAATGTAGGGCAATTACAGCCAAAATCTGGGGAGAGTCTTAGCAGAATGAATACTTTTCTGCTTTGAGTGGGTACTTAATTTTTGACATGTAAGAGGTTCAGTACACTGCTAAAATTTTATACTCCTTTCCAGATGACAGAAAATATGACCAGGAAGCAGCCTAACACAGTGAGAAGCGAGAGCTGCACAGCAAAAATCATAAAGCTAATTATTCTCTGGTTACCACTTTGTGGGGTCTGGTACCCTGTTTTGCATCTTCTTTATACCGTATTATTTAGATCCAGGCTCCCACATAGGAAGACGATTACAGAGGATGATCTGGAGATCCTAGAGGTAGCACTTCTGTGGCTCTGCAATGTGCCTGTGGTTTTTTTGACTCCTTTGGGACAACCCAGATTTTAAAATCGGTGTAAATAGAGCAGGTGCAGTTTTACTAAAAATGAAAAGCAGCTCCAAGCTCTCTAGCTACTGCATGTGTTAATTTTTAACATATGAAGCATTTTTAAGAACTGAGCATTTCATTTAAGGAAATAAATTTATGGACTGCAAATGAGCAGGGTGGGGAAGGCTTCTGCAGAAAAGAAAATGCAAAGTAGCCTACAGAATGACAGGGTACCACTAACCTGCACATATAAAGTGTGGCTGATATAATGTATATGACAAACAGCAGATAACCTGTCAGAAAACCAGTGAAACGCCAACACAGGTAAAGGCCTAGCGGGACTTCAGTAAGGAACAAACGCTTTTCAGATTTGTAAGAGATGTATATATTGCACTGATTTGTAGGCTATTTTTTAATTCAATAGAGAAAGAATTATATTTTTTCCCATTATATTTTCAGCCAGAATGTGCCCTTTAGAAAACCAGTGTTCTGATCAAAAACATTTTACAGTTCAGAGCAGTAACTCATACAGCCTCTTCTGGCAGCGTAGCCCATGTGCCAGCTCACATGCTTGTTCCTATTGGGAAACAATGGCCACCCCCGAGCAGCTCATTTTCTAAAGATGGCCACATTAAGCACCTCTGAGTGATGCTGTCCAGAGAAAAATTAAGACCATAGTCTTCATGTGCTACTCAGCTGATTTGCATTAAACTCCAAGTCCTAACAATGAAGTAGGTAGACCTAATGCTATTTTTTTTTTTAAGAGAAGGTACACAAAATTGCTTCTTTTCATCTCATTACTTCTGTAGTAGTGGCAAAGGTGGTCAAGATGGTGCAAAAGTGTGTCACTGGGGTTCCACATGCCTTGGCAACTCCTGGGTGCCACCTCTTCATAACAATTAACACTTCTGCTAGAAAAGTATGAATCAAAATTATGCCTCATGACTAATCAAAAAAGATCAATTTAAAGACAATTCCCCAATTCTCAGATTATACATCCTTGCAAAAGTAGATGCCTGTTCTGCTACTAGCAGTGCAGACCATATTCACAAATGTTTTATGCAGCTAGTGCGGAGACCAGGATACCTCTGAAGGAAAGGCAGATACTCCTCTTCGCGAGGGGCAACTCAGGCAGCCTAAACCAGCTGCCAATTTCTGTCTATTGGCTGGGCAGGTGGCCAAAGTTATCACCCTAAAAATGATTCGATGCATGCACACACTGACAGAAAATAGCATGAAGGAAGGAGAAATGATAGGCTTTATGAAGATATGTCTAAATAGCCTGCTTAATTCAGGGCTTTTGAATACTTACCCCTCCCTGGAACGTATTTTGAGTTCACATATACAAGATGAACATACCTTAGATTTGGGAGATAGAGACAGCGAGCCCTGCCAACCTGAGCGCATGTCCCCAGCCACCAGGCTGTAAAACATACTGAACTCAGGCCTGCCCTGTCCGGCCTGCTGAGCGGGCTGCCAGGCAGGCAGCGGCACGTGAACTGCAGGCTCGGGCGAGAGACGGGGAGCCTAACTCCAGCCCTGCAGCTGGGACGCTCTGCTCTGGTGGCTGCGCTGCGGTTCCCCGCTCCCTGGGTCACTTCTCTTTTTATCCAACAACAGCACAGGCCCCGGGAGAGAAGCAAAGGCATTGAGCACCGGGTCTCTCCCAGCTGTGTGCCCAGACACACATCCATCCACAACAACACTTTCAGGCCTTTCGGATAGCAAGGCAGGGCTTGGCTGGCCCCCCAGACACCCCGCAATGGCAGGGGTGCCTCAGGGTGCCTTGGCCCTCTCTGGACCCAGGCAGCCCCTGCAGGAGCCAGGTGCTTTAGTGCCTGGAGCTGTCTGTGTTCCCAAATCAGGGCTCTTACCAGTCTCTACTGGTTTGGGGCATGCTGGTGTGTGACAGCACATTTTCTACACCGTGCTCTCACCCACCAGCTATATGGGTTTGCCTGGAGACCCAATTTAACTGATCTGACTATGAGCACACATTTTGGACTTGGTAAGGGTCCTGACCTCCTAAATCAGAGTATAATCCTTACCAGGGTTGCTAACAAGGATTAGACTCCACTAATAAAAGACAGTATTACTGCCTATGTTTTTTTCCTTAAACCATCACAGCAAAGCCAAATAGCTGTGATTCACAAACTGAGCTCTAATATTCAGGCTAGTTATGTATTTTAGGAACCCAAGACAGCAAATTCATAATTCTGGCTTGATTATTTTTAAAATGTGATTGACCAACAATTTCAAATGGATCTGCATCATCTAGACTCTCCCTTAAGATCTGTGAGTATGTCAAAGTAGGAGTCTGTGTATGACCAACTTTAGTTATGTATAACATTACAAATTATTACCACTAATCTCAGTAACAATTAATACTAATTATCTACTCTAATGCACTTTATGGAGTTTACACTAAGAAAAACTCTGATCAGTTCTCTTACAGAAATGCCAGAACAAATACTTAGAAGTAATTTTAGGAAGCAGGTGAAACTGGTTTTGAATCAATACTCCACTTGTGATTATACCTGTGTATTTGCTTAGCACAAAAAAAGAAAAAAAAAACCCTCCATTAAATTGGTTCTGAGTAAGTTCTGAATAAGCAGGCTTACAAGAAGACTTCCTCTAATTCTTTGTAACTTCAGTTCACCATTTATTTCTACGATCTCAAATTTTTGGCTATTCACTGGAAATTCTGATTTGACTTCAGCACAATTTTCATGCTTACCAGTGAGAAGTGTAGGTGTGATAAGCTGTCAAACCACTTTGCCCTGCTTGTGGTGCTCATCACATTAGCACAGCAAGTGTGAGCAGTAACCACAGTGCCTGTGGCTGAGGTTTTTCTAAACAACTGATGCTGGGAGGTGAGATTAGTAGGCAAGTGTTTATGGCAGAGAGATGTGAAGGCACAGTCTTCACTGGTACACCACCAACAATTATGAGCAACTGACTCTTTCTGGACCTCTGCCCGTCAGCAACACCAAAGGAAAACTGTTTTGACAGTCAGGCATTTTAAACAGGAAAGCACTTGTTTGGATAGTTTCCTAAAAAAAAAATAATTGTCATTGTGCTTTTTCAGATGAGAGAAATCCCATAGAGTGCTCCTGTGCTTGGGAGAGCTACCAGTCAATATCGATAAATTCACTGCATTACATCGATACAATTCTCCTTCATGACGACATTCATGAAAAAGGTCCTGAGACAACAATTAATGCACTGACATGCTATGGCTACTGCCCATTGAGCTGAGAAATTTCTTTTTCTGTTCCTTTCTACTCCCCTGCTTGCCTCCATACATATGCTGTTTCTTCAGCATGAGCTCTTTTTAAATCCAATGCCACAGTTACGATTTTTGGCACTACATTTACAGTAAATATGAAAGTAAAGATCAATAGATCAATCCCTCCACCATTACAAGAATTTATTTCCTATGCTTCTCTGTTTGGTTATGTTTAGAGCAAATGCAACTGCCAAAATTACTGTATTTTGACAACTTCCATTGAGTGTTAGATCACATATGAGTGTTAGATCACATGCGCCACACCCTTAGATGGATCAGTGGCGCTGACCCAGACTACAGCAAACTCCCATTTTGCTAACTTTAGTATACGCTCTTTCACCTAGCATGCAATGCAAGTTCACATCCAAAATGATCTACAGTCAGGGGAAACACACAAAGGTACTGCACAAGCTTATGAGAAGATGGTGCCTGTAGCACAATTTGAAACCCACTGTAATACCTGAACGGGGCTGGCAGGAGTGACTCACAATGTACGGGAGACCTGTAGACTTTCTGCGACAGCATCTGGTGGCCAGATGGCATAACTTGGGGCATCTAAAATGGTGCTAGATTCATGGGTTTAGACAACTGAGCTATACCCATCATGAGGAAAAGTGTACTTGAGCCACAGTAACACTGGCCTTATTACCTTGACCCATTAACCTGGTTTGGGTTACACTCCATCTTGATGGTGACTCTGGCCGGGGGTTGTGATAACCAGTCTTGCTGGGGAACACGCGGACTCATCTTTGACGTCTGCCCATATTCACTGGAGGAGGAGGCCGTCATCTCTGTCTTTGCAAGGTGGGGTGATCCGTAGGCACACTCGAACAAGGACTGGTCTTCACTCACCACTGATAACGCTTCCTGCAAACCAGAGAAGAGCAGTCTGTGTGACCATGTTTCAGAGCAGACATTACAATACCCTCCATGGGAAAAAGGGCTTGTCCGTCTCACAAGAAGATGAACACCCAGTCACTTGCTTAAATGCCCATTACTTTTTAGGCATGCCACTGCTGTTGGTGGACGTGAGGACTCATGGCGCCAGACACGTATGGCAGGAGGACAACCTGTCCCATGGGAAGACCATTCCCACCAGCAGCTGAGAAGGTGCAGAGACATACACTAACAAACACTTAGGAATAGTGGCTGGGAACTGGGAGAGAAGAGAGGGCAGGACAGGCAGCGAAGCTTGGGCCTCTGGCATCCCTGGTAGGGATGCGGAGGGCCAGATCTGCTGGGGGCGTAAGCAAGCTGCCGTTGCTGCTTTAACTGCCCCTGCAAGAAGTGACTGAAAGCCGTGCCTTGCTGACTCACTGGGAGCTCCTCTTCCTTCCTCTGGGACCGAGGCCAAGTCCCTTCTGGACAGGGAGTTGAGACACAGTTGGGCACAGCCTCCAATCCAGGGACCCTGTTGTTTCTTCCAGGATCCTCTGCTGGCTTCGGCAGAGGTGCCCATCACCATCCCTGAGAGGACACTATGCCCAGCAGCCGCCCCTCTCTCTCTCATGGCAGCCCTTCCTGGCAGGCCGGCCAGCGGGCATCCTGCTCCATTGCTGTGGGAAAGGCTTCCCCGGCCACCTTCCCTCACCGTGGCAGCACTGTGGTTACGGCCCTCGAGGGTGGCACGGTTCGTCGGGGCCCTTGGTGGCAGGGTGGCTGCCATCACAGCTGGCTGGAGTAAGTGTGTAAATGGACGGTAACCCAAAGTGCGACTCCCTCCTCCCACCCCGGCACTATGGCTCTGCCCTGAGACGAATCAGGGCAGGGGCCAGC